GGGGCCCCCCCCCCCCCAGCCATAATCGTCGAAGCAAAGCGTTACTAATTAGAGTACTTTTTTGAAAAGGCATCAGCGATTTTCTAGACTCTCATATTTTAAATATATAAATTTTAAATATATAAATTAATATTAAAATAATTTCTTGATTATCAATGCTTACTCCGAAGCCATTCACTCCTGGATGTGTATCATATTTTTGCTGCGAATTATGTACATCAAACCATTTGTTAACTGTCGAAACGAAATCAGAAAATTTTTCGTAATCGGACACATTTATAAATCCACAATCACTAGCCCATTTAATTGCCTTTGCCGTGTGAGACCACATTTGCACCGCTGGTTTAACAGCCTCCTACATTGTATGATGAGCGTTCAATATCCGCTGTGTTAAATAGTGCGTAACACGAAGATCATCCATGTCAATAATGGCTTGTATAATTTCAGTTGTGAAATGATTTACTGCAATGTTCAATTAAAAAATCTTCATCGACAAATCAATTTCGTAGTAGTTTAACAAATGCGGAATATTAATAAAAACAAATATTTTGCCATCTTTCAATACAAGATGTTTGAAAAAGTGATTGTCCGGAGTAATCTGTAATTCTTTCCATATTTCTTTATTTATGTCACATATTAGCTACCACTTCGTATCCAGCATCATACAAATGATACGCAGCTAAAATCATTAAAATCTCTTTTGTCATTGGTTGATCGAATTCATAATAAATCAACTGCTTCCAATTTCCAAGTAAACCACGAGCCATAATTACTTGACTTTTTCATAAGGACCAATCAACTTTTCAATTTTCAGATCGAACTGAACTTTGGGACTCACAGCCATTTCATCAAAAGTGAAAACTATGATTTTCTCTAAAGATGTTAATGTTTTACCTTTTTCTCGCATTTTACTGCGAAAACGTCAGATAAAAATCCTTTTTGAATATCAAATTTCTTTAAAACCCACACTTTCTCAATGTACAGAGCGGTGGTAAAGGAAAATTGAGCTTAAGAAAATACGTATGCTTTTGGACTCATACTGCGAAATGAAATTGCCAAAGCATAATCATTAGTAGACTACCGAATCCATTTTCGATTTTCTAGAATACATCTTATTTGTCCTTCTGTGAAATAAAATTGTAATATTTATATTATTTTGTTTTCCATTGTCTTTTCTAAGTTACGTTTATCAAGATCAGTTACTACCAGTTTCGCCTGAAGATCATTAATTATTAATTGCATTCGTTCTTTATCTTTTATTAAATTTTCTATATGTTCATTTTTTTGTATTAATTGCAATTGTAAGTTTTGGTATTTTTTTTCAATTTCTTTTTTTTCATCCAAACAATTGCATCTGGATTTTAAGTGAAACTCATTGGGAGATCGATGATGTTCCAATTCAACTTTTAGCAACTTCGTTGACGTATATGATTCTTCATTTTGTGATTTATGAGTGTTATCGGTAATGTTACTGCAATTTTTCATAAATCTGAAAGAACTTTATTGTAAGTAATGAGTTTATTTCAGCTATTGCCAAGATAATGGATAAAAAGAAAATTTCAAAAATTTCTTTCTTGTTATGATTCTTACCTTTGACTTTTGGGTGTTTCGATATTCTCAACAGTGTCTGATATGCTGATTGAATCAGGACTGACATTTTGTGAATGTGCAACGATTTCACATTGTTCTATACAACTCTTTATTTTGGTCGACTTCGACTCATTATGCAATACTGTTGATGAGCTATCTGCATCAAAGATCTGAGAAGGGCTGAGAGGATCAACCTCATTGCTGGTTGATTCTTCATCTATGCTTTTATGAACGTTGGCAGGAAGCAAGAATTCTCTACGAATAACTTTAAAATTCATGTTGATAGTATTAGTTCTGAAAAATAAAAGTTATTAACTCTTATTATTTTCTAAATATAAATAAATAAAGCAGTAATAACTTAAATTTAAACGACCAAAAAGATGAGCAAAAAATTGTATATTAAAATAATTAAAACATATTTAATAATCTAAAAAGATTATACATTTTGACTTCAAAGTTTTTATCAGTTTACAAATTTCAAAACAGAATATAATTAATAAAATAGCATTACAACTAAAACATACTAAATAATAGTCTAACATACTAAATAAGCTTTAACTATAAAATAATATTCAAAAGGCCAAGTCAATAACTAAACGGACAATTTTGTCGAATTTTAATATAATTGTGAAAACGTAATTACTCATGTCCAACAATAAATGTAAGAATTAATTCAATAAGATATAAAATTAATATGATAATAAATTCAAATATAATAAAAAATTTAACAACAAGTCATGTTAAAAGTCCAATGTGTAAACTGAGACGATATGAGGTAGAGATAAAATTTTATCAGGCAATAGCATCATGAAGTAAAATGTCAAGAATACAAATCAGAAGTGTCTAGTTTATATTTGAAACTTTCCAACAGACGATACTGTGTAACAGTGATCATTTCATCTTTGTTTAACATTAGCAAACAACAAGGATGTAATGATTCACTGAGTTACATTATCTCATTTGTATCCCTTGTTGGAAAGCTCCTATTATTTGGCTTGTTATTGCTAAATTTCAAGGATAATTCTTGACATTTATGTATAATTATACTTTCATATGCTTCTTTTAAGTTTTAAATTTGTAAACTGAATATATTATCTTCTTAAATTATTTTGGTATGTAATTTTGCTTGATTGTTTAAATTTAATTTATTGATTGATTTACCTATTTTCTATTGACAGTAACATTTTTGTAGGAACAGCAGTCGATGAAAGGAGCCGTCTCGGATTTGTACACTTTCCAGATTTTTGTCTCTTTCCTATATGAAATGACTCTTCAGTAAAGTGAGCTGAACATATTTTTGCTAAAAATGGTTCAAATGACATTAATAGGTAATTGATATAAAAGTTGAGATAATGAGTATTCATTGAGTCAAATTAAGAAAACACAATTACATTTCCATTTCTTTCAATTTCTAATATTTAAAAAATTTTAGGCATAAATTGTTGTTATTACAAATAATATATTTCAATTATAAAATATTATATCTACTAAATTTATGATCTTTATAAAACAACTTACCATTTTTAACATTTGAAGGTAATTTAACGTCCCTGATTTTTTGAAGCCAAATTTCGCGAGTTATTTGACTCTTTGGTAAACTAAAAAAACTCACTTCACTCTTACAGCATTTATCTGTTTTATTTGGGCAAGACTTTACAATACAGCGTACCATACTGATTCTGAATTTTGTTTAATAAAATTGATAACTTTTCTTCTTCTTTAGGATAACTGCTCAGTTTATTTCATGTTATCTCAAAAATCGATGAAATGCTCATTATGCTCATTCAATGCGTTTTTCTCCAAAATGAATGAATATGGTTATGAAAAGTATCACTCTGTCCCATAAACCGAGATATTGATCGTTAAATCGTTTTATTTTTAATTCCTTCGGGTAAGGAATTAAATTACGTGCCCTCAACTCTAACTTTGGAGCTACATGACGGAATATCGAATTAAAATTCTTTTTGTATCTCGATCAAACTTGATTAAACTCGTAAATAAAGCTCCTTTTACTTATTATATACATATAGTTACTCTAAGCTTCTTGTACAATTTGCAACAGTCTTAAGTCTTTCTACTTAATCACAATGCGATGGAACAGCATGTTCTTTTATAAATATGATATTAAATTATGTCAACAAATAGAAAAACTGCAATATACGGGGCACCTGAGTGATGACTATTTAGGTTAGAAAATTTATCACCTCTATCTACGAGCAAACATGGGGACCCCATGTTGGGGTCTGTTTCCGCACTGTCCAGTCTGAACTGAGATTTATTTTGAAGCGCCTCTATGTCCACAAACTATGTAGACTATGTCCACGATTTTTCGGTTCGAATCTTTCCTATGTCCACGATTATCGATAATCGTGGCTACATAGTTCAACTATGTCCGCTTCAAAATAAAGCAACAGCGCCAACAGCTAAATCCCGGGCATGGCCGCTCTCTCTGCTTCAACTTTCTGATGTGTGTGAAGGGTTGCGCGCGCAGTCGTACATACCAAGTCGTACCCAGCAGACGACGTAACGACTCTGCGTGTGCGAGAGCTGCAAGCCGCGAGGAGGGCGAGTGACAGGCAGGGTGGACGTGGTTCTGGTTTTTTACTGTCGTATATTAATCGACCTCTCGATCGCGTTTGTGGTGGTGCGCGTATTTATCGTCGTTCATCGGTGAACGACGAGCATCGCGCTCGTCCGAGATACCTTATACGTGCGAGCGCCGGGATATCGTCAGGATATCGACCGCGGTCGTGCGATATCGCTCTCATTGCGAGAGCAATTTCGGTGGAGCATCGACGGCTTGCAACAGCTTGCAACACTTGATCGTGGCACCTGCAGCAGTGAGTAACACCCCTCGGCTCTCCTTGCCGATTCTTGCCTTTCGGTTCTCGCGGCTCTTCGTTTCTCTTCGTCGGAACAGTTCGCGTCCACGTGGTTGCACCGGTACGGTGCGACACGGCGCGTGACGTAATGAAACTTCCACGTGGCTTGCGACCAGTGGGTCAATTGTGTAGCTTGAAACGAGGTAAAAATTATAAAAGTCTATAGATGTTGATCAATCAAATAATTCAGTGAATATGTGCTCACTTTTGTAATTTTCACGTCATTTCAAGATACATATTATCATCGTTTGTCAATCTATACTATCGTGTATTTTGTCAACATCGTTGTATAATTCTTTATAGATGAACTAATGTATCTCGCACTTTTAAAATAAATAGATGTATATTCAAATTTAACGAAAAATATTCTATAAAGAACAGGTGGTTAGACCTTTATATAGATAATATATATATATATGATATACTTACGTGTTGTGGAATTATTCCAGTTTTCCTAGAAAACAATCGAAATCTAGGCAATATTGAACAATTCTGATGGAATCCATTTATTTTTCATCCAATTCTTGAATTTTTCTGCTACAAACGAAATTATTATAAGTAATCTCGTTTTTAACGGATGGACTTGCTGGGTAGGGGCGATCGTCCAGTTATTGCTCGATCAAAACTTTATGAATGTTATACGAATCTTGAAAAAAGTTGCTATAACAGTTATGATAAGAATCTCTGGTGTTAAATTCGAATTCTAATGAAATGTACCTACGTTGCAATTGATGCAAACGTTCAAAGTTCGATAGTTTGTCAGAGAGTAGTTTACACTTTGTACTCCTTGCCGCATATTATTTGAAATTTAAAAAAATCTGTGTGTACATAAAGCAACACATTTCAGGCTTATAGAAAATTAGCGTTTTACGAATTTTTATTTATTCATTAATTTTTTTGGTTATGTGCCGCTCTTATTTATTCATATACATTTTATATATAATATAATATTTGTATATTATAATATAAAGATAAAATGATAAATTATAACGTTTAATATCCTCAGCTTAATTTGTAGTTTCTTTTATTCGTTTATTTCATTTGAACTTTTTTCTTTTGTGTCGAGATATCGATTCTTCTTCGCGCGCAGTTTTGAACGTCCGCGCCACGAAGGGCATGCAACGCCACCGTTGCATATACATTGCGCGATGCATTTTAGTTTAAGATTTCAGCCGCTAGGCGGTCATCACCTTGAACTCCACAGCGAATATTTAGTTAAATAATTAGAAAAATTATGTTGAAACGATTCCAATAATCAATATGTACAACAATTATAATTTAGAATTTAATGTTGACTTTAATTGTAAAGATTTTGGGAACAGAAGTTGAATCGAGATAATGTCTTTGTCGTCATAGTGTTTCTCGCGAGCATTCATGTGCGATGCAATTCGTATATAAGACCGGACCATAGAGAGTATTCCCGGGTAGTCCGATGCTTCTCAGGTAAAACTACGAACGCATATATGCGGCCTCTCTCTTCGCTTTATACGATGTCTCTGTTCAGCATCATATGTCTCCAGTACTCACGTTCAGTTCGAAAACCACGTGCGGTACAGGTTTAAAACCACAAAAAAAAAATCGGGTCGGTATTGCTTGTTTGTGTCACTAAAGAAATGAACTGAGGAAGCGAAGATCGACTATCTCTTTTGCAAAAAATTTCAAAATTCCATTTATTTTCACGTCACGTTTAATGATGATAGTTTTACAATCATATTTTTTTTTTTCTTAAGTTATATTTTTGCCTTTTATGCAATCCAATGAATCGCGTGTGTTTTAATTAAAAAGAACAAAACTTTGTTCTTATATTAATTTCTGTGTAAATTAATCGTCATCTTTGAGGCACGACTTTCCATATTTCCGTAGATGGTGAGCTAAGTATTTCTTAAATTGGTAAATATCCGTGATCCACCTATAGTTATAAATCTGTTAATAAATCTGAAATAGCAGAGAAAGAGAATTACATCTATTGTTTATTTATATAAATTTATTTCTATTTTATACGTTTATATTGTATACAATTTTCTAAAATTATTTCTCAAATATGCAATGAGATATATGTGTGAAGAATGCGCTTATTTCTTATTTTTGTTGCTATGACGTCAACATCGACGTAAAATCATTTTTAGGCGCAAAGAATTCGATAGTTGCAATTTATTTCAAAATTTAATTGTTATTCTTATCATTGTTGAAAATTCAACTTCGTACACATACGAAGCCGTGGCGCATATATACGCAAGCTTGTACAGCTATGTAAAATAATGAAGTGTAATACATAAATAATTTATAAATTCTGAAAATTATTGCGACTGAACGCCGGCTTGTGAACCAATGGGTCGTAACTTATAGGATTACCAGCCGTATTTTTTTAAGGTATTTTCTTTGAAATTTTTCATTAATAAAAATTTTATATTTATCAAATTATTTTATAAAATGAAATATGTATTTAATAAGAACTGTTAATAAATAAAAACAATGTTCTAGAAATTTTATCTTATTAAATATAATACCCGAGAGTGTTCTTGTCCCCAGAAACGCCTCTCGAAAAATCTGCCGTTCGGAATCGACATTAGAAACTGTAGGTCCTATATGTTTGTGGCAATCGAATAATCAGCGTGCGCATCATAAGCATATGAAACAGATGTAATACAGGCCAGAGGTTTAACGTAAGAAGAAGAAGAAATATAATAACTACATTATCGTATGAAAAATTATATTTTCTCTTTTTTAGCCTCCAGATCAGCATTTTTAACAAATTATAATATATAATACTCTTTTTCTTGTGATTCAAGCATGCAATGGTAATCCTAATTGCGATCCATTTTTTGAAAATCCCTGCTCTAAGGTACGACGTCACTTTCTTCTTGGAGAGAAAATGTGATTGATGTCTCTTTTTATATTATACTAATGTATAGATTAACTTTAATCTTGATTTAATTCGGCGTGAGTGAGGTCGGATGTATTTCATACCCAGACATTTTTAAAACAAATATTTTTGTTCCTTATATTGTGTTTCGTGGAATTCTTAGTAGCTGGAGGGAAGGGTGCGGAGAGAAAGTAATATAATATAATAACGAATCATTAGTATTATTATATAGTATTATTAGAAACAGTAAAATCTTTGAATAATATAGGTATATGATACCACATTCACGCTGGGTTAATTTACCATTTATCTTTTTCTTAGAATTAGAAAAGGATAAAAAGTAAATTAAATCGATAATTAAAGAGTACATTTCGCATGAAGCGCATGAGATATTACTTTATCCTTCTTTATTCTTCGGTGAACAACAAGGACAAATGATGCATATCGTGCGCATTATTTTGTGCACAATTCAAAGCAAGCGCATTCATATGCATTCATATAATCTGGTAGAAATGGATGTGAAAATATTTTTTGGCGGGTCTTTCTTCTTTACGTGCCACGTAGTCAAATGGGCTTAACTTAAGCAAACGTGAACGTTGATCTGCAGCCACAGGAATCAGGAAACACTCGAGATCAAAGTATCAGATTGCATACAGCTAATTTGAGACTTGGCTATGACCACGACACGAGACTCACAATCGGTACGAGTATGTAGGGGAAGGGAGAAAAAAGTGAGAAGGGGCTATGGATAAGTTGTCGATAATTTCTTTGCATTCTGAACGAGCACGGCGCCAGTTGCACATGTAACGTTCGAGTACAAGCAGTCATTTATTTTCTCATGATTGTAGGAAACGAGATTGTTCTTGAAAACGACGTCATTCAATCATAAAGTTGTTGCAATGGCAAAACATAAACGATGAGAGAGAGAGAGAGAGAGAGACCGATTGGTGAATATCGGACCTTCGACTCACGAATTACCACGCTGATACTTGAAAGAGAAAAGAACGGTGATTAATGGAGAGGAAGGACGCAAACGGAAATGCGGAAGAGGACACCAACGGAGATACAGAGGATACGGCGATTACGAGCGAGCGGGGTACGCCGGAAGAATTCGATTCCCTCGAGAATTCGACTACGTCACTAGAGATGGAACAGTCGGAGACCGGTCGGAGAACGAGTATCTTCAAATTTTACTCCTATAAGAACACAGGTGAGTACGCCTATTGTAGCTGTGCTGTCCGCGGTGAGCGGTAAACCGAATCAATTCGTACCGATGGACGTTTACATATTCGATTTAAACGTTACGCTGACGACGCGAAATCGTATCACTTTTATCTCGAGAATAAATCAATTACCGTACATGGATCCGACTTCTTTTCAACTCTCTCTCTCTCTCTCTCTCTCTCTCATTTCTCTCTTCTCTCTTAGGACTGAGGATCTCATTCTTAATTTGACTCGAGCAACCTCGAAATCATTTTCGATTTTGAAATGACAATCAGCGGCGTTTATTCATTCTTAAAAATATCGGTGTAGATTTAACACACGTGGTGTTTATCGATTATATTGTTCACACTGTATTGCTGGTGTTAATATTAATATTAATACGATGTACATTTAACACTATTGGTTTTAAAATGCACCATGGTGTTAATATTTACATCGGGGATTTTAAATCGATACCATATTGATATAGATATTAAATTGATATTAAGAGTATTCTTCTTTAAATATGCTAGATAGATATCCAAACCCGATATAAGCATAGGTTTTATATATAACATATAATGCGAAAGTAAATTAATCAATCAAGGTCTTTCATTTTCTTCCTTTCTACGAGATAAAAGACTCTGAGTGGATGATTTTCTAATACCGTGTGCGTTCTGCAAGAATTTATGCTTCTGCTCTAATGGGTTATCTACAATAAGCCATTAGGGTTATCGCACATAAAATTCTGTAACAATAACCGTAAAACGTAAACTTAAACCAATGAGCCAATGAGGCTTTAGATTTACGTGAGATCTAACAGTAATGATAGAATTAACAGTAAACTTATCCATAAGGCAAATTTCAACCGGTTGAAAATGGTTTACGCTTCACTATTCGCCATGTAGCAATAAATACGAAATCGTAGTTACTTATCGACCTTATCGTACATGTAACTTTGTAAAGTTTGTAAAAAATTTTGAGATTTGACAGATCTCCATTTGTGTACCGTGCAGTTTCATAAAAAAAAATCAGTCAGATCGTTATCTACAATATTAATAACTGGAAAGTAGAGACTTTAAACTGTAAAGTTTTCTAGATCATCTCATTATGATAATTTTTGACCACATTTATTCTCTTGAAAAGATTGTCTATTTTTAAAAAGTAATCACTTAATTCTTGAGCGTAGCGTATGTTACAAAAGGATATTTGTATAAATTCGAGATTCAAATTGGCACGATTATCAGTACGAGTGTCAATAATTTTCACGGTCATAATATACTAAAAAATATGACGCGATAAAATACGCGTGCTGAATTACGTATTCAATATAGAATATGTGTATAATATACATACGTACGATATACTAATAATAACTTTTTAATTGAAAAATAGCGCACAGTAAATTACTGAAAAAATTGCAGTGTACATGAATTATTTAAATCATATTATTTTTCTGTTAGTAATTCTGTTAGGAATCCGTTTATATAACGACTTTACATGTGTTTAGATCGAAGGGGTAACCATTATCTGAAATATTGTCCCACAAATTACACGATTTCATTTGATTTTATACGATTTTATTTCAAGACAAATAATTAATTTTCTTCATTACATGTCATTTGGTAAAATAAACGATCTTATCTAATATTACACAATTACTTCTTGTAAGTTGTATATGTAATTATCGGATTATACATGGGAATTTCATATAAATTTTATAATGATTTTAAGGATTCCGTCCCAATTACATTAAGTGATTACTCCCTTGGTTTAAATACTCTAATTGTAAGTATAAATTCAAAATAGAAATTCTCCATGATATAAACCAATGTCTATAATGAACGAGGACACAGACATATGTCTAAAAAGGACATCTTAAAGATATCTTGTATCTCGATTTTAGGCTTTGTGTTTGGAGAAGCTTAAGGACGTTCTCCGACTACAGTTGTGCTCAACCTAAAGTTTACTCGCGTCCACGCAATCGTCCCTACACACAGAAAGTTGACTACCACTTCGCTCTTTCACTTGTTTCGTTGTTTCTCTCTCGCTTTCGCTATTGCCGCCGGTCGAAAACATAACGGAGCTATACTTACTTTGCTAAATGGTTTCTTAAAAATGAATACCGGAAGACATATTCAGGAAAATTTCATATTATTCCTTTTGTAATATCAAGTTTTATGTCTCTTTGTTTTTCAAAAAATTATAAGGAAAACTTTTTTTACAGTGAATAAAAAACTACTTTCGAATAAGCTTTAGATAGGGATTCTACGTTAAACGTTTCAACTTTGAAGTGGAATATCTCGATTTTTAATCCCGCAACGAGTACTGAGCTTCAAAGCATATGTTCAGAACACTAAAACAAGCTTCTTCTGTAAGTTTCAGAAAAATCTAAAGAAAATGGATTTTTCGGAGAACGTCCTTAATACATGCATAGGACATTTACTTTTGTATAGGATTTAACAAGAAAATATTATTGCACAGAATATTACATAAGGTGTAATCACGTACCGAAGAAATTGACGATGAATGATCGCGTGCAGTACATCACGAGATTTATCTATAGTTTTATCTTTTAGCTGGCGGAATATCAGCAGTTTACTTACGATATTGAAATAAAAAATACATTTTTTTCTTATGTCAAGGCTCTATCAACGACGAGCCCTCTATAAGTCTACGATATTGTGGGTTATCGCCGATAAAATCCGTTTTTCTCAGATTTCAAAACCGAGATTCTATCAAAATATTGCTACAATCGAACAACACTTTAAAGGAAAAGACTTTCGTCACGCATGCTTTCGCTGGTCGATTTGCCACGACATACAAGACCAGCATAAACACCAAAGCCAATACTTATTGTGTTTTCTCACGAAATAATCTATCCTTCTCTCTTTTTGTATATATCTATGTATACATTTAATTAATAAATTTAACTTTAATAACTTTTTTAATTTCCTTCATTTTGTTATAGATAAACGAGTAATAAATGTTGCGCTTTTAAATGAAGTCATACAAAATACATCTTTTCATCTTAAATATTCACAGAGATAAATGCATATACAAATATAAAAATGCATTTTTTCATCATTTTGCCACCGTATTCCAATCGCTTTAATTTGATCGTTTTCTCATTCGGCGATCAATTTTACATGGAAATATATAATTTTCACACAATCGTAAAATTTCATTTTGCACCGCAGACGAAATGACTTTTAAACTTCAAACGTGCACAAAATACGCAAATGATTTGATATCGCCAACGAAACTCATACTGATACTAGATTTCATCTCTACTTTTACCGACAATTTGATTTTTTTCATGTGTGCAAAATGCTGTCGCACAATGTGTTATAATAACGATCTTTTATCGTTTATGACATGTTTTATAATACAAAACATTTTACATCACTTACTTTTAATCTCGATTAGCGTTTATTATGTTTTTTCAAGTTTCTTTATTAATGTCACAGCTTTTTTATCACGGGCGCATAAAGTATCTTCTTCTTCTCTTCTGATTTTTATTAAATGTATATTAAAAAATATCTAATGATGATTATTTTTTACAGATGCAATGACAAATACGGTGAAAAAAACAGGCCCCCTTGTTGGAGTAGTTGATGTTGGCACGCGCACTGTTCGCTTTGTGGTAAGATTATTATAAATAGTAGCCCGTTATCACGTTATAATTTTCCACGCTTCTAAATGTTTACTAATGTTTACCAAAACCTGTCATGAGGATTCTGCAGTTCTCGGCGTGATAAATAAAATCGAAAACAATATAAGACGGTGTTAACGATGCATATAATTAATTGTAGCTAAAATGTAACCGATTAACAACGAATTAATGATTTATGGGAGGCAATAAACGTAGATTGCGTGAATACTAAATAATGACATGATGGTGTTCTTCAGATTTTCGTGAAATCGTGTTCGTAAGACTCCGAAGTCTTTGAAACGTTTAATCCGTTAATGAGTTATATAATAATTACGCAAATAAAAATAAATTCTGATCACAAATTGTAAAAGTTATGTTCTAATTGTTAGAAAAATTATTAATAAAAAATTTCTTTAATTACAACTTTTTGCAATTAAAAACATTTTTTAAATTAAATATATTGTTGATTGGACAATAAAACAAGATCGGTATGTAAGAAAGTTCGTTTATACCTAATATATGAGTCAACAAAACTAATAATCAACACTTATAATTTAAATGCAAAAAAGGTTGATATAATTAAGTTTAGGAATAAAACCTACATTATGTAAAACAGAAAGTTCGAGAATACAATTGTGTGTAATCCAATACGTTATAATGAAAGCCACTCAAAAGTATTGATTTTTCGAGCAAATTGTAATTAGCGTTTATTTTATTGTTAAAAGGCGTTTAATATGTTAATCTTACCGGTTTTAGTTCAAAATGGACTTTTGTAATGTATTTAGATTTAAACATTGAGAAAGACCTTCTATAAAAGATCGTACGTTTGTTTATGATTGTCTTTACATTAAATAAAAATATCGGTAAAAACAACCTACTTTGGCTCGTGGCCCTTTTATTTATGGAAATTAATTATTAATAAAAAAATGTTTTTTAATTATATTTTGACACATGTGATGTGAATTGTGTTTGCAGGTATTTAATGCGAAGCATGTTGCGGAGATTGCATCTCATCAAATCGACATAGAGCAAATTAGTCCGCAAGAAGGATGGGTGGAGCAGGATCCCAAAGAGATCCTTTTTGCGATAAAAACCTGTATTAAGGACGTAATTCGCAAATTAGACATGTTGGGTATGAAGATTGATGAAATCGTTACAGTTGGTATTACCAATCAGAGAGAAACTACGATAATGTGGGATGCGATTACTGGCGACCCTCTTTATAATGCCATAGGTGGGTAGAGACTCGCTTACGTTTAATCTATTTGTGGGAAAAAAATATTTTCGTCCAAGGAAAATCTAAAAAACCTGGGGTTTATATTAAACGTTTATTAAATATAAGGTCTTATTTATATTTTAATTGATTCATTTCAAAAGTAATATATAATTTTTTTTAAATAAAGGAAGGAGAAAAGTGGAATCTAAAGTTGTTTGATTAATATTCGATCAGCTTCTGAAACGTAATTGATTTCAGTGTGGTCCGACATCAGAACTGACGCGATTGTAGATCAGATTATAGCGAAATTTCCGGATCAGAATAAGAATCATTTGAAACCCTTATGCGGTTTACCTGTAAGCCCGTACTTCTCGGCTTTGAAAATTCGTTGGTTGAAAGACAACGTGCCGGCCATAAAGAAAGCAATTCGTGAGAGGCGATGCAAAGTGGGAACCATGGATACATGGGTTGTTTGGGTATGTGACAAAAAGATATTAGCCAGGTATTAGTAGGAATTAGCGAGTATAACTCGACTAAGCTTATCCAATTAGTATATTGTATTAATTAATACCCGCTAATATTTATACTTGTTATATCTTGAGGAAATAAGTATTATTAAACAGTAGTTGACATTAGACAATATTAGGTAGCGCTCCTTGCTGTATTCCAAAGATTGTTATTTAACATTCAAAGTATTATACGCGTGCACGCACGCACAATGAAAGAACCTACGTGAATTGATGTATACAATTAATTTAAGAAATCATTGCAGAATTTAACGGGAGGCAAAGATGGTGGACTGTATATTACTGATGTTACGAACGCGTCCAGAACGATGTTAATGAATATTGAGACGCTTTCGTGGGATCCTACGTTATGTAGATATTTCGACATTCCTATGCAAATGCTGCCAGAAATCAGAAGTAGTTCCGAGATATATAGCAAAATCTTGGTTGGTCCGTTGTCTGGTATTCCGATATCTGGTGTACGTAAAATCTTGTAATGAAAATAACAGAAAATAATAGATATAGAATATACTTTTTTGTTACATTTTTTTTTCTTTATTAGATTTTAGGAAATCAACAATCTGCTTTAGTTGGACAAAATTGTTTAAAAAAGGGCCAAGCGAAAAATACGTATAGGAGTGGTTGTTTTCTACTGTGTAACACAGGGCATACCGTACGTAATTCTTAAGTATTTATAAATTTATAAAAGCTTAGAAAATTTTAATTAGATTCATTCTTTTAATCTCATTCACATTAATTTTTTTATTAATCATTTATTTACAAATTGTTGTACAATTGAAAAGCAGGTAATTTCTCATGTCAAAGTAAGTTGAAGATAGATATACATTAAAATTTGTTTATATAGAGCTGTATTTTCGAGAAAGTCGAATTTGTATATTGTGTTTACTTAGATAATATCACGTTTGTTCGAAGAAGTGAAGAATTATAACATACATCGTTTCATGTGTCTTTAACTCGAGCACGAATTTATTTGTCACATGAAAGGCGACATTTTTCAACTGGTCCTAATAAAATAAACACGTTATTAAAACTTATTGTATTATTTTTTTTTAAACTATATCAAAACCAAACTGACATAATTAGCGGTGAATAATTAGATTAGACTAAACAGGCTGTGGCTATTCAAGTGCACGCGTACTTAACGAATATTCAAAGTCCATTTTTTCGGAAGCTCTATGTGAAAAAAATTTGAATATTTCTGACCTAAATGTTGCACTACGGTTTCTAAACCATCTGTATTATCTGTTACGTATTTCTTTCAGAGAGTATACTCTTCTCATGGATTGGTTACAACCGTTGCATATCAGTTAGGTCCGAAGAGCCCACCTGTTTACGCATTGGAAGGTTCAATTGCGGTTGCGGGTGCAGCTATTAAATGGCTGCGGGATAATATGAAGCTCATAAATGATGTTCATGAAAGTGAACACTTAGCTCAAAGTGTATTTAGTACGGGAGACGTCTACTTTGTGCCCGCCTTCACTGGGTTATATGCACCTTATTGGAGAAAAGATGCAAGGGGGTTAGTAGAATTTTATGAAAATTGTTCAGACTATTTGTTGAGTTTTTATTCTATAGATATAAACAATCTAGAAACTGAAATTATTTTTGTAAAGTTATTTAATAAATTACAGATGATGCATGTTATAATATTTTCAAAATATTTTATTTGATCGAAAGTTAATATCAAATAAGAGGTGTGTTTGAAAAAGATCTATTTTTTTCTTTCAGAATAATTTGTGGACTTACTGCATTTACCACGAAGCAACACATAATTAGGGCGTCCCTCGAAGCAGTATGCTTTCAAACCAGAGACATCCTTGAGGCGATGTACAAAGATTGTGGATTTCCGTTAACGAAGTTAAATACAGACGGAAAAATGTCGACTAACAATCTTCTTATGCAATTGCAGGCTGATTTATGTGGTACACCAGTATGTAAGTACATTGGCAGATTTATGAGTAAAAAATATAGCTAATGTAATAATATTTTATTTTTATTTCTATTGTGGAAATTTTTATTCTTTAGAAATTAACTGTGCTTCTGTTTCGGCTAATAGTTAGGTCAACTATGCCTGACATCACGGCTTTAGGTATAGCGATGGTTGCCGGCCATGCTGAAGGGATTGATGTTTGGGATCTTGAAGGTGAAGAAGTAGAAACAGTATCAACCGACACTTTTCTTCCAACTACCACACCGGAAGGTAAACTTTCGAATTAAGCAATTTAACAATCTTATGACTTATTTTTTTGCAAGTATACAATATGCGGTTATGATGTAACTTTTGATCTTTACTTTTTTTTTTTTAGAAAGAGACGCTAGATATAAGAAATGGAAAATGGCAGTGGAAAGGAGCCTAGGTTGGGCAACAGGGAAAATGTCCAATCAAATGACAGGTAAGTATAAAATTATCAAACAAGCAAAATCTGAGATGTCGGGTATAAAATTGAAGTTGCTGATTTAAATACTCTTTATTTGTCTCTTTGACATAGGAACTAATCTTTGCGTGATTTTTTTTAAATATATCGTGGTATATGTAAATAAAATAATATGTATACATGCATATATAATTATTAAACGTAAACATAATTAATTTGCACGATATATTGGATAAACTAAGATATATCCTAAATATTTTCGATAATATATATTTGCTGATAAATCTGTTACGTATTTTGTATTATTGATATATAAGTAATTCCCATTATGCTTGATTTATATCACACAAGTGTTATATGCAATATATGTATATTTTTTCTTGTTGTTTCAGATGAAAGGTACCGCATACTGGCGTCCATTCCTGCCAGTTGGTTCTTAATATCGAGCTTTGTTCTCCTAAGGTTAAGTTATTACATAGAAAAACGGTGACAGCAAATCAACATTATCGATACGCAAGTTTCCGTAGACGGTGAATAGCCCTAATTGCAGCTCATTGCAGAAAAAAACTTGGAAGTGATTGTTTACTTACACATACGTCGACACATATGACGACGAGTAACGTATTATTGTGTAAATAATCAGAGAAATAATATTGCTTCTTTAGATTAGTTCCATATATTTTGATGCGTTTCATCAGAGTTACATTCATAGTGTGATTCTCATCGAAAACAATTAAGTACGCTAATGAATGGTGTTTGGAATGAATAACGCAACCAAATGTTATTATTTTGTATGTGTTTATTTATAATCTCATTTTATTTTCTGTGAAATAACGATATTAGATTTCTTGTAGGGTTGTAGTGGAATAATAGAATTTTTCGTGAAATTTGTACTTTGAATTTAATTCGCACGCACACACACGCATTATACAATTCCATTTTTGTTATTATTTATTGTACAGACGATATATATACACTTTTCAATTACATATATCATAGAACACGGAACTTGTAAGTATTTTATACATATGATTGTAACGCTTTACTTCTTTTAATCATTTATATTGTTTGTGGTTTAATTCAGGATAAAGATCTAATTGGAAATAAAATATGCTTAAGTCTCTTAATGTTTGTTTTTTATTCCTGTACTAGAATTTTTCTTACTTTCAGTAAATATTGAATATGTACCAATTCCACTTTAAGTTCCAAAAGAATATTTTAACTTTAGTTGATTTAGAAAATAAATCTATAATTCGATAAACTGAAATAATGCAATAAAATCATTTCTAATGATGCATAAATCTCGAAATCGATAAGTATAACAATGGTAAAATTTTTTTTAGAATTCTTTATAAAATTTATCAAAATTTCTGTATAATTTTATAAGAACTGTTCAGAAAAACATATTTTTATTTTTTATAAATATTTGTCTTCGACACTTTGCAAAGAATTTATAAAAATAGAATATCGAGAATACGAAATTGCAAATTCTTTGAAAATAATGCATAACATTATAGATAACAATCTACTAAATTCTGACGAGAGTTATCAACTGTCTAAAGCCAGCTTGCGTGACATATTTAAACGAGGAGAATCCCAAAAAAAAAGAAAATTTATACGAGTCTCAAACGAATGGAATAATCTGTACACGTATTTGACAGCGAGTGCTGTGATGAATTTGAATCGCGCGCCGGAAGGTATACGCATGCGCGTTTCCGTTACGGTCAGACCAGTCGAAGATAGGGAACTTGAACGAGCGCGAGCGAGTGGCCGACTACTGCCGACTTGCTGAGGCCGAGCTGGCCGAGTACTGCCGAGCAGTCACATACCTACATTACATCAGAGAGTACGCGAGAGAGTACGGTAGTCGGGACGACACGCTGAAATTCGCTCGCGCTCGCTCACGCAGTTAGTGTCAGTGTCCATTCAGTGTCGTTAGATTCTTCGCGAGTGTTTCGCGGAGCATCCGGCTGATCCGGCTTGGCCGTCAGCCACCACAATTGTCGCAGGGACCGCGAGCGAGAGAGAGAGAGAGAGAGAGAGGGTGAACAGGATGCGGTATCGCGCGAGATTCCGGCGTTGCATCCCGTGTCCGCGACTTCGCGGGAACATAGTCGTGGCCGTGGCCGCGTCCCGCTGAGATATGCGTGGGGTGCCCGTTCCGTCGTTCCGCAGCGTGTGTGTGCGCGGGTTAACCTCAAGTATAGCGCGAGTGCTCGCTACTGCAGGTAGGGTGTGAGGTGTGTGACGAAAGGAGGAAAGAGAAGACGAATGTATGTTTGGTTAGGAGAGGCAGGAGGATCTCCTACCCGGGTATTATAACCTCGCGGAGCACAGCCATTCACGCGCACGTCCGTCTCAAGATGTCGTCCGGACACAGCAGCCGCACTCGCGCCGTCCACATCGGCTCGATCTTCCAGAAGCTGCACGGTCGCTTCGCGGACGCGATGACGCCGCCTAAGCTCTCGACCGACAAGCGTACCCTCGACAAGACCTGGAAGCTGATGGATAAGGTGGTGAAGCTCTGCCAACACCAGCGTATGAACCTGAAGAACTCGCCACCGTTTATCCTCGACATCCTGCCGGACACATATCAGCGGCTGCGGCTCATCTACAGCAAGTACGAGGACCGTATGCAGACGTTGCACAGCAATGAACACTTCTGCGTATTTATCAACAATCTGATGCGTAAATGTAAGCAAGCGATCAAACTGTTCAAGGAGGGCAAGGAGAAGATGTTCGACGAGACGTCGCACTATCGTCGTAATCTTACCAAACTCAGCCTCGTCTTCAGCCACATGCTGTCCGAACTGAAGGCTATATTTCCCAATGGGCTGTTCGCCGGTGATCAGTTTCGTATCACTAAGGCGGATGCGGCTGAATTCTGGAAGGAGCGCTTCGGAAACAGGTACTGTTTCTCTTTACCTCCTTCTTTTCAATCGTCGAGAGAAGATGCCTCCCTTTTTCACGGCATACACGACGGCATGCTTCCTGGATGATTCTCGAGGAACGACCTCCGCGCGCGCTTGTAATAAAATTATGGCAAAAATGTTATATCGTTCGCGACAAATACAAACAAAACGGATATTCACGCTGCTTGCAGAATTCTGGTTATCGCAGTTGAATTTCCACTTGTCTCGACTAAATGTGTCTCTACCTAAGATTTGACTGTAAGAATATCTAATTTGTGTATTTTTGTGGTTGAATCTATCGGATTTATATAATCAGATTTCTAATTTCTAGAATATACTCACGCGCGAAACATATTCGAGATCACACGTTGTATTTTTAACCAAGATTTTTTGTTAAATTGTACTTTCGACCAAGTTTGCAGAAGGTCATTCTCTGTCATAACAGAAAATTACTCTGGTTATATTGTTTCCCGCAATCCCGTGCTACTACTATAATATAGTATACGTACGTAGAGAAAAACCGAAAAACAAAACGCCTTTTGAGTTCGTATTATAAACAACTGGAAATTAAAGTTCACCAATCGAAGCAAAACTAAGACCCAGTTTCATCCATGTAAGATTAACTTTAACCATGATTTAATTTATTGTTAATTTTTTCATGTGATTAATTAGAAAAAGAGGAACAGGGCTTTAATAAACTAAACAATATAATGGTTTTCTTTTTTATGGTTGGTCTTCTCAATTTCAATTTGAATTCCAGCCTGATTGATGGGTTTTAAGTCCTTTGATAGCTACAAAGTTTGATTACATAGCCAACTCTCTCTTTAAAATACTAACAGTAAATGTCAAGGAAACTTAATACGACATACTCAAGTAGAGATTCACTGAATTCGAGGAAAATTGTTAAACGCGAAAAATGATACTTCTTGCTTTCACAAACTGTCAATTTTTTTATAATCCGGCTCCTAGGATGGAAGAATCCTAAGACCACATGCATTTTAAATCAAAGAGTTGAAGAAAAACTTTTTTTCCCGCGGCAGATTTGCAGCACAAAGTTTGAAAATTCGAGAATGTGTTAAACTTGAAAAACGATAACTATTCCACCTTTCGTAGGTATTGTTATTAATTTTAGTGTAAGTCAGCTTCTAAGATCGAAGTGACGCGAGATTACGATGCATTTTTCAATCAGATTTTAAGGAAAACTTATTCTCTCTGCGAAAGGTTTGGAGCATAAAATGAAGTAAAAATAGATGTGTTGTACAAATTATTAATGTTGGAAAATATAAATCATTGCAATCTTGATTTTATAAATATTGTCGTTTCCGTACAAAGTGTAAAGAAAATCGATTTTCCCCCAAAAAATTTCGCAGTTTTCCATTATCTTAAAATCCCGAAAATTATCTCGTTTGGGAAGATGATAGTTTTATCTCAGCGACGTTCTCAACTTTCGTGTAGCGAATTTGACCGTGAGGAGGGAATCGCGACACGGGTTAAAAGTTTCCGCTACGTTCATTCATCTAATTTCGTCGAGCTGCGCAAGGATGCTCCATCGACTTTCGTATGAATCACTCGCTGAAACTTCCATTTTTATTGCTGGACTATAAAAATCCTCGATATTAGAACGATATTAAAACCCCAGAGGGGAGGGGGATAGAAGCAACTTTTAATATTTTATAAGCGCTGCCAATTCTTGTGCAAGGCTCGGCTATCCGAAACTTTGCTCTTCGTAACTTCGCCTTTCACCAGAGTTCAAAAAAAGGTTCATCGATTTTCCTAAGAGAGATAGAAATAAGGAGAGAGAGAGAGAGAGAGAGAGAGAGATTTGTAAAACTCTTCTGGAATTAGCACGGCAATGCCTTGGCCTCAAGGCCAGTAAACTTTCCTAATCTCTGAAGGTTTTACAGATATAGTTCGGTCGTGTCGTATTATGCGGGCATACGGGTCCTCTGATATACTTGTCGCGTATGTTTTATCGTAAGAAATTTATCAACGTAGACGACGACAAAATTTCCCTAAAAAAGAAAATCCGCAATCGGAAAACCAACGGTAATAGTCTCGAGTCAAGTAAACAGAACATCCTCTGATTGCACCTCCCTCCGCTCCGATGCAATATTACGCTCACTTAGCTCATGGCCTCTCTCTCTCTCCCCCCCCCCCTCTCTCCTTTTCACTCGCTTCTCTCGTGGCTTCCGTCCGTGTTTTCGTTCATTTTCGATCGTACAATTCGAGATATAACTGACACCTCTGTCCGTCCGTCCACGGGATCGTCTTCGGATGAACGTGCGGAAAAAACAAATAATGAAGGTGCGTGAGCGAAGCTCGCACGTGCGCACAACCTAACCTAAAAATCATGCATTTCGTGAAGCAAGGACGAGGGGGGGGGGGGAGGAAGGGAGGGGGGCGTAAAGGGCTAGGAGGGGAAAATGGCAGAAGGAGAAACAGGGAGCTTACGATTGGCGAGTGAGTGAGATGACACCGGACGTCTATCGTTGATATTGACATTATCGTGCACCGAAAAGCGGGACATGTGTCGGCTCGTGTGCAACTGTGGGTTCTCTGTAGAGAATGCGTTTTATCGACCGGAAGTCGGATGGAGCACAAGGTGGTGGTTGGTGTATCGGGAATTTTTGCGAGCGTGGAAGAGAGAGAGAGAGAAAGTAAAGCACATACATATTTTAGTTTTAGGGCAGAATCCTCTGAGAATATAATACGAATGCAATGATCTCTTCTTCTTAGGCATGCAGCTGAATACTCGTTTCGTTTCACTTAAAATAAAATACAATTTGAACAATTTGAAGTTTGGTGAAAGGTCAGTTTTTTTATGCTTCTAACACCTTTTATTAATCTGGAAAATTTTTATTTGTTTTTTTCGTAGTTTTCAATATTATCTACGTTTTATATTTTAACAGGCAGTTGGAATTAAGATTGTCTGGTTAAAAGTTCCATAACGTTCGGCTACTTTCATCGCGGCTCGAAAATTCTTCGTATCTCGATATTTTCGACCGGAAACAAGGGAAACCTATAACTGTATTATGTAAGAGTCCCTCCTTCTTTCTCGAGCATCATCTCACGGGCGTTGGTGTTACTTTCGGTGAAGAGGAGAGGAGAAGAGTGTCGGGCGCTCTGACGTCAATCGCGTGTGTTTGACCCGCGACGTCGCGATTTAATGCATTCGACAGTAATAAACGAAGAATGCTTTATCCGGTCGAACTCGCATTTACCCGTCGTCGGCGTCGTCGGCGTGACGACGGCAAACTGTCGTCGCGCTGGTGCGCGCCCACACGCATGGCACGCACGCACACCACGCATAGGCACGGAGGACAAAGGCGACCGCTTTTCTTCCCCCTATTATGTGTCGTGTTATGCTGAAATGGTAAGCGCACTCTCGACGCGCAAGCCAGGAAGTAGCAGATATATCGCTGCATTAGCATAAAACAACTTCCGGTGTGACGATTCCGCTCTTGGGTTCCTGAAGCGTTGCGAGAATATGTAGGTAGGCTACGACGACCGGTCAGCTCGAGGCACCGTTACGACGTTATATACGATTATTGTCGTCACTGATGTTTCGACTTTCGACGCCGTTGTTTATTATTTATCTCATCGCGTCGTGTCGCGGACATTTAGAAGATGAACGGAGGAGAAACCAGGTCTTATAAGTTAGCGAAACAAAATGAGCAAAATCGATTTTAATTATCATTTTTATTTGTTGCTTCTTTGTTGCTCTCTCAGTCTTTTTTTAAATGATGTTCCCCGCTAAAGGAAGATTAAGTTAGCGGAACAATATACATAGAATAAAGCCAATATCGATGTAAAAATAACGTAGGGATGTGTAATTGTGTTCATTTGTTGCTCTTGAAATATGCAAGTTACGAATTTGTTGCTTGCAAAATATGTATAATTGACAACAAAAAACCTCAGCGTACTAGCGGAACGAGAGTGGAGTGAAGCACACCAGTGAAATATTTCTTGCTCCCTTAAAATTAGTACTAAAATGTTTGAATTTGTTGTGCTCTCGAAATGTTTCACGAAATATACAAGTTACGAAATTTGTTGACTGAAAGGATATATCCGTATATAATCTGTAGTGCACCGTCGCGTCGTATCTGAAAGTTATATCTGTAGAATTTACTCTTGTTGTTCCGTTAGGATGTTGAGGTTTTTCGTTGTCAATTATACATATTTTGCAAGCGTCGAAAATTTTTTTAAGAGTAGTTCCAGTAGTTTCGATCGGATTTTCATCAAGTTCGCTCACAAGGATGACTAGATAATGAGATATGTGATATTGCAGCCGATTTTTGTATACATGTATCTCTATTGATTTTTTAATTGTTGAGAACTCTTCAAAACAGATATTATAAAATAACAATTATTATGTGTCAGAACTATTCTGGATTCTGAATTTCGATAAAAAGTTAGCATCCCGTTTTTTTTTTAATTATTTAAAAACGGTTTTAGCTAGCGGAACTCTTGATATTATCTATATAGAACTCTTTGTTTCTTCAAAAGGAAACAGGAACACTGATCAGAACTACGGAATTTCAATGTTTTGTATTTAAATTGGAAATTTTTTTCGACGTTTTTTTTCGAAAATTCGGTATTTTTTTTTTAGAATTCTGGTAGCCCCCGAAAAAATTCTATCGATTATTCTATACCGATTAAATCGCTAAAATGAAAGATTAAAGAGTTATAAACTTACAAAAGTTTCGAAATTGTAAAGTATAATAAATCCTCTCCTGCTCCGATACTTCAAATGATGTCTTCACCACCTTAATGAACAGAACTCTTGTTAAAACTACTTATAGAACTTTTAAGAGGCAACCAGAACTTCCTTCCAAATTTTGAAAAAGTGGGACCAACTTTACCGAAGTGGTTGCTACTTTTCCGATTTTTGAAAATTTCGACTTCGAACGAATTCAGATGGAAAAAACCTTTAGCTATAACCGTTCTGAATTTTTATAACTGTTCTTTTAAGCGTGCGTATCAATTTTCCTTCCTT